ACAAAGCGCTCACGCCCGTCGTCGATTGCCGATGTTCCGCTACCGTATTAGCGAACATTCGAATCTTTTGAACTTTTAGAATGATCTGATAAATGGTAGTAATGACGTAGACTCTCCTTGGTTAACAAAAGCTTATGTTGTGTTTGCAAAAAAATAATGTTAGAGAAATTAAATCATAGATGCACCGCTAAAAGCAAAATTTGATGAATTTTGCAGAATTATACTAGAAAAATCATGCAATAAGCATGTCTGACGCTTGGAAGAATAAAAAAAGAAAAGAATTGACGCCACATAGTTTAAAACAGAATGTACTTTTACTTAATAGCTTCAAAAGTAGACAGCTAAATGATTTGGCGCTCCAAATCGTAATCTCCTTTTTATCAAAGTCTTCTATTGAGGGTTCTTATTAGTATAATCTAATAACAAGACAATCTCTAAGCTATCATCATTTTCGACATATGTAAGGCCATCTGAACAATGTAAAGCTAAATTGAGTCTTGATAATTATTTCATCTTATTGAAGCACATTTTAATCATACATTACACACAGTCATTACTTGGCGAAGAGATGGAAGTTTTTCTCGCATATACAGCTAAATCTGAAGCACAAATCCCATTACATGTCATTCCAATACGGATTGCAATCGAACGAGATTAGATCAAGCAACTAATGGAATGAAAGCATATTCAAAAAGTTAACGTATTAGCGCACCACGTTTAGAAAACTTAGACGAACTGCGAATAATGAGCCAGGCGAGATTTCTATAATTTGACCAAAGGCTCACTTAATAGCTATTTAAAAGGATATTGAAATAATCTGCTTACCAGATGAAGGGCGATCTGAATATCGAGTGCAAAAAACCCATGCGGGAAACAGAGCCCGATTGTCGATGACTGAAGCGGGGGGACTAGCACCAAAAGATGAGTTTGGGCTGGTGGTATTCGAGCTGTGCAGGTCCAGCATCTTTTCCGGAAGCAGCTCTTTTTCCGGATTGGATCGGCCAAAGCACGGGTCCAATATTGAGTCGATGCCAAACTTGAGTTTCTTGTGCATCATCGACAACTCGATTCGAGTGTTCATAATCTGCATCGCTCAGGTGCAACCAATCAACATGACCCGCCCACTGCAGGTCGACCAATCACCCATTGACGACACGCCCATCCTCTAATTGATGTCGGTGCCGACAGCGGAGAGTAAACTGGCTCACAAATGAATAATTCCGATTACGGTAGTGAGAGGCAGTTGTCATTGGTGATTGGCAATTGAGGGAGATTAGCGGGAAGAAATTAGAAGCAGCAAGGCTAATTATTGAAA